GCTGTGTCAGGCACCTGGTGGCACTTTCTATAAGCCACGGCACTTAGTGGTGGTGTCTCTGCTCCTCAGTGCTTCCACCCACTGGGCCACTCCCCAAGCAAGGGAAGCGTCACACTTTCACAATCTGTACCTCAGAGTCTGGCCCATCCACAAGCCCCTCAGGACAACCCAACCCAGCCCCTGTACCTCAGAGTCTGGCCCATCCACAAGCCCCTCAGGACAACCCAACCCAGCCCCTGTACCTCAGAGTCTGGCCCATCCACAAGCCCCTCAGGACAACCCAACCCAACCCGCCTTCCTGTTTGAGTTGGAAGAGCTGAGCCAGGGGAGGTGGTGCTGGGTGGAGCCTTCCAGCGGTGAGCAAGTGTCTCAGGCAGGACTGGAACCCAAGCCCTTGGGCTCCTTCGTCTCACGTGCTGCCCAATCCAGTGCTACCTCCCTGGCCTCCCCCTTGATGGGGGCCACGTCTATGGTTGATGAAAAAAAGGAGACTGCATCTCTCTCGCTGACCTGCTAAGACTGCTCTCCAAGTTCCCCACCTGGTCTCTGCCTTGGCCCTGGTTCTCTTGGAGCAGTATAGCCACACACCCAGGCATCGGAGGACATGCAGAAGTAAGCGGCAGTGGGGTGGGAGGTGCCTCCTCCGCCCCCCGCCGCATGCCCTAGTCATGCAGGGCGAGCATTGCTGATGCAGGCGGGCCTCAGAGATGCGACTGGAGGCTACACCGGCTCAGTGGACACTGAGGGTCACTGGGTGTCTGGGGACAGAGGGGGTGGTGGGAGTGTCCGGCCAGGCTGGAGGCACTGCCACCCTGCTTCCCAGGAGGCTGAGGCCTACCTGACGTTCCACGTGTGGATGGGGGGACTGTCCTGCCCTGGGCCTGGAAGGCAAGGCAGACCCAGGCCAGGGCCTTCCCTGGACAGGAGGGAAATTTTTCTTGGGGACAAGCAGCCAGGAAAGGCAGGAACACTCAGCAAGTGGAGCGGGCACAGTGGAGTGCCAACTCTCGCCCTCCTTGCGCTGCATCCCTGTCCTGTGACCTGGCTGACTCAGTTCTCAGCACTCAGGGAAGTGGGGTCCTGCTGGAGGACACAGTGCCTCTGGTTGGCTGCAGCCTTCCCTCCTCCTCTTCCACTCCTCCTGAGCAGGACCGGCTGGAGTGTGCAGGGTGCGAGGGGAGGCGGAGGCCTGGCCGGGAAGTGGGTGGGTTTGCAGAGACCAGCCTAGCACCTCCCTCAGGTCTCCACTGCCCTGTCTGCGGCTTAGCCCTGCAGAACAAACCATGGGTGAGTTAGGTCGTAGTGAGAATGGGGACCCAGAATGACCTTAGTCAGGAGACTAGTGATGCATTCTAAAGCTGGCGGCCTCAGGAATCCACCTGCAGGGGAACCCTGCCTTGGCTATCCTGCCTTGGGTCAGGAAACAGGAGCAGTGGAGCGCTAGACTGGTGTAGCCGCCAGGTGCCAGGGCAGTTTGGAGGAAGCATGCGTGTGGCGCCCGACACACTGCCAGGGTCAGTGCCTCCTTCCTTTTTAAAGTGACTTGAGCTGAATTCTACACACGAGTGTGCACTGTATCATGAGGTTAAATGTGGTGAAATTGTGGGTTGTTAACGCAACTATCTGTAGGAGCAGAGTTTCTATTCACATGTATTACTGGGGCAGAAATTGGTTTGTTTTTAAGAGCTTTTCTTGTTCATGAGTTATATCTTCTGAAATTGAAGTCAGGATAATTGAATATTAACATATAAAATGATCTCTGATTCTGGAACCACTAAATATTTTGTTTTCTTTTTTTTTTAATCTGGTAAAACATACATAACATAAAATTGACTATTTTAACCATTTTTAAGTTCACTGCCATTAAGCACATTCACATTGTCACACAACTGTCACCACCACCCATCTCCAGGACTTTCCCATCTTCCCAAGCTGAAGCTCGGTCGCCAGCCAGCACTTGCCATTGCGCCACCAGGTGCCCACCTCGGATCTGTGTAAATCCTACAGTATTCATCCTTTGAGTCTAGTTTATTCCACTTAGCATAATGTCTTCATGTTTTTTACATATTCTTTTGGCTTTTTGATTAGACTTGGATAATTCACAGTTATCTAAGAATATTTAAATATTCTTGTAAATTACAATAGAAAAAAGACATTTTAAGGGAAACCATTTTATCTTTCTGTTTTAAAAAGCAAAAGGGCAGGAGTTTTTAGTTTTCCAAAAAGTGTCCATAAGTGGAACATTTATTAAAATGATGTTATGTAATATCCAAGTGACTTGCCTGAGCAAATGAGCAAATTACCTTGAATAATGTTAAATTTCTAATTAATGTTCAACTTGTATTTTTGTCTTGTTTGCCTTGTTAGAGAGGAATAGTAATAGTCCATTAAAGTTACTAGTCAAATAAATGGGTATGACACATTTCTCTCCTTACTTTAGCAGTAATTTTAAGCACCACAGAACTTAGTTGGTTTTTTTTTCTGAAAGAAAATTGGAATTAAAATCATTGATCCTTTAGAGAAATAAATCAAGAAGGGAATACAAAAAAAAATAAATAAGAAAAGAGAAAGGAATTCTTAAGTATATTTTCCTTTTCTGTATTGTCACTAACAAATAGGTAAGAGAAAATGGGACACCGAGAGGCAGCATTCATCCTGATTAGGCTCATTTTGGGACAAGCAACCACTTTCATGACTCCCCCTGGGAGGCAGGAAGGGAGCACCTCTGTGTGAGCCTGAGGAAGACCTCCTTGTCCAGGGAAGACCTGGGAATGTGATGGCCCCTGCGAGCGGCTCCTCGGTGGGGACACCTGGCAGAAGAGCCGGTAAGAAGAAAAGGCCCGGAGTGACGGAGGAGACAGGAACCTCAAAGGTGCCGCATCGAAGAGCTCATGGGCTCCCTGGACAGGTGCTGAAGCAGCAAGCCGAGGCCCCTGCCCATCAGACCTGCGCGTGAGCAGGCCCCAGGACGCGGTCGGGGTTTCGTGGCAGAACTCGCACCAGCGCTGTCTGGAGGATTAGGTCTTGATCATTCTCTGAGACTGGCACTCATACTAGTCTCATATTTTGGATTAAGAATTACAATGAAACATCACTTATTCCATTTTTATATGTGTGTACCCACCAAATTAAACGCAATTTTTAAAAGCAATTCAGCGACACCCGCACACTCCTCCCAGGCGTGGGGAGACGATGTTTTATCATTACATTCCAGGAGAAATGGTCTGCCAGAGATGGTGGGTAGCCACAGGGACACTTCGACCTGAGGGACTCGCTGCACACAGCATCCTGAGCAGCTGCAGGGTCCATGCTGACTGTGCTGGGCCGCCCATTTCCACTCTGCCGGTGCTCAACCTTCACACCCTCGCTTTATTTCCTTACAGTGCTGCTCAGTGGCTAAAACAGCAGCTTAGTATAGTTTAATTCTACCACCATCCGTTGAGCACCTGCGTGTACCAGGCGCCATGCTAAGCCTGAGAAGTAAAAGGATCACTGACTGTGGTCCTCCTGGTCAGCCCAAGTTCACACTCGGGGGAGACTGGCAGTTGGACCAGTGGGTCTCAAGCTTGCTGCGTCTGGCAGCTTTTACAAAATACTGATGCTTGCATCGCCCCCCAAGCCAACTGAATCAAAGTGTCTGGGAGGGAGGTGTCCTGGGGAAGCGCTATTTGAAAAAAAAAAAAAATTCCTAGGTGGGTTTAATCTATAACCAGGGTTTAGAAATACTGTTTTGGAAAAATAACCAAGTGGAGCCATTAACAGTGCTCAGGAAGGGACTAATTAATCATAACTGAGCAGGAGCCTGGACAACCTAGGAAGAGATGGCATTTAAGTGTGACTAAACAGGAAGAGAGGATCTTGAGAAACAAATAAGAGGTGGAGAAGACAATTCCAGACAAAGGGTCAGGGAAGTTGGAGAATGGCCTGTGGCAGCTGCAGAGAACAGTTTCTGCCACTGAAGAATCTGGGGCCAATCCACGGGGAGACGGCCGCCTAAATGGACCTGTGGGAACAGTGACCCAAAGAAAGGTGTGTGCAGAATGCTCCAGGAGCTTGGAGGAGCAACAGTTCTGGCCTGAGATGGCCAAACTTCCCTGCCATACGGTGATTGCTCTATCACCAGAAAATGACACCTGCTAATAACTCACACTTCCTGCTCTGCTTTTCGTAGTCAGTTTGGCTCTAGGTTTGTCATTTGTGGTCCCAGTGACAATGACTGTTTTGAACTGTCTTTACAGGAAGGCCCCATGCAGCCTTGGGGCCTGCATGGTGTCTACTTTGACCCTCTTGGAGTCCAGCTGCCACGGGAAAGCTCATGCCAGACCACTGGATGATGGCCATCCACACGGAGAGAGACAGAGAGACCAGCCTGCCCCAGGTCTTCATCCACTCGGCTGAGACACGTGACGAGTGCCTAGTCCCAGCCCAGGCCCCAGAAGAATGCAGCTGTGTGACCAATCCCAGCCAGCACCAGGGCACACAACCACCCCACCGGTGTCACAGTCCTGAGAAGTAACAACTTGTGGCGGTTTGTTACACAGCAAATAACTGATTTACAGAGTGTCTTAGTCTGTTCAAGCTATGATAACAAAATATCTTAGACGGTAATTTATAAATAACAGAAATTTACTTCTTCCAGTTCTGGAGGCTAGGAAATCCAAAATCAAGGTGCCACCAGATTTGTGTCTGACAAGGGCTCTCTGCCTTACAGATGGCACCTTCTACGTGTCCTTGCATGGCAGAAGGGGCAAGTAGGCTCCCTCCAACCTCTCGTAAAAGGGCACTGATCCCATTCCCAGTCACCTCTGGTAGGCCCCCCTCAATACTATTGCATTGGGGATTAGGTTTTAGCATAGCGGGGAGGGACAAGAAACATTGAGACCACAGCACAGGGTGAGTTGGATTTTCTGTTATTTTAACAAAGTCCTAACTGATTTGTTTTCATAGGTTTAGAGTTAAAATGCTGACCTATGTTAGAAATAGGAAATCAACACATCTGGTTTAAATAAAGATATTTATTATCTCTTATAACAAGAACTCCCAGGCAGGGCAGCAGCAGGACTGGTTAATAGCCCAGTGGTGTCACTGGGGACCCATGCTCTTCCTGTCTCTCGTGCAGCCACCACAGGGGCAAGATGCTCCTCAAGCCACTTCCTCTCAGGGCTGCAGGGCCGCTGCCAAGCACAGGCGAACAATAACATCCAGCAGCATTTCCTCCTTATGTTCCTTCTTAAGAGTGACAAAAGCTTTCCCAAGCAACCCCCAGCAGGCTTCTTCGTGGGGTTCATGGACTTGAGCTTGTTTGAAGCCAATCACTGGAAACAGAAACAGAAAACAGAAACAGAAAAGAGCTATCAAGATTTGCTAACCAGAATGAGCATTTAGCCCCTGGCCATGTAGAGTGTGACACCTGACCAAGGTGGCTTTCTGCCCGCAAGCACACACAGGGCAAGGCTGCAGCATGGACAACCCCCAGTGTCTACCACGGCATGAAAAGCAATGAGCCCTTACCACTGTATGAAACAATGCTCCTGACAGACACGCACGCAGCCTTTTGTCCAGCCGCCTTGTGTAACCTCTGCCTGGGCACACCCACAAGTGTCTCAGTTTGCAAGACAGAAGCTTAGTCAAAATCTGGCTCTAGCAGTCCGGGTAGAAGGCACTCTTGGGAGGGGATGTGGGAGAAAGTTTGATGAAGGGACTATTTGCTGCAATGTGGCCATGGTTCAAGGAACCATCAAAGGTTGCAGTCACCTAGGGATCAGCAAAGTGGAGGCTGACACCACTGTGAGGCCTTACGAGCTGTGGGGCAGAGAAATGCTGTTCCCAGAGCCTGGCATTGGTAAATGCCATGGAAAGGTGGCCACAGAGAACTGTCACAGAGGCACGCCGACACAGCCAGGCCAAGGGCGAGGCTAGGAATGAAAGGGGGAGAGGTGCCCCAGCCTCCATACCTAGGACTTGCGGCTGGTGCCTCTGTTGGTGAGAATACTGCGGACTTTCACCCTTGGAGCACAGAGCAGGGAGAAGACAGAGAGTAGATAGGGATGGAAAATCAAGGAGTTAGCTGAGCAAAACCAGAGCGTTTTACTGTTCAGCCACTATTGCTGTTCACTGTTGCTCATTTCCAGTGTCAAGGGAAAAAAGCCAAACTGTGTAAAATAATTTTAAAGAGATTTATTCTGAGCCAAATTTGAGGACCATGACCTGGAGCCACGCTGAAGAAGTCTCTGTGTCTGGGTTACAGTTTGGTTTTATACATTTCAGGGAGGCATGGGTTACAGGTAAAGTCATAAATCAATACGTGGGAGGCATACATTGGTTTGGTCCAAAAAGGTGGGACATCTCGAAGGGTGGGTGCTTACAGGTTATAGGTGGGTTTAAAGATTCTTTGGATTGAGGCCAGGCGCGGTGGCTCACGGCTGTAATCCTAGCTCTCTGGGAGGCCGAGGCAGGCGGATTGCTCAAGGTCAGGAGTTCTAAAATAGAAAGAAATTAATTGGACAACTAATTATGTAGAAAAAATAAGCCGTGCATGGTGGCATATGGTGGCATATGCCTGTAGTCCCAGCTACTCAGGAGACTGAGGCAGTAGGATCGCTGGAGCCAGGAGTTTGAGGTTGCTGTGAGCTAGGCTGACGCCAAGGCACTCACTCTAGCCTGGGCAACAAAGTGAGACTCTGTCTCAAATAAATAAATAAATAAATAAAGGCTTGGAATGTTTTAACATAAGGAGCTGTTGTTATCAGAGATAAGCCACCCTCATAGATTTGTTGTGTAAATTGAGGACCTGCAGGTGTGTCTGGCATACCCTTAGGCCTGTTAATGGGTTACAAAGGATGTCCCCAAGAAGGGAGGGGGCATGATGAGGCCAGTCTGACCTCCCTCCTCCTGGCAGACAATTTAGTTTTAGGATATTCTTTTGGCCACGAGGAGGTCCATTCAGTCAGTCCATGGGGGGCTGAGCCTTAAAATTTTATTTTAATTCACACAGTCATCTAAAGTGCCCACAACCACCGAGGACAGTCTTGCTCAATTGTCTCCTAATGCCCAGGCAGGCCCCGTTCCTCACAGGCCACCGAGGTCCTGTTATGCCTCTCTGGCTTCACGAGGGATTATCTGTGGCGGCCACAAGGAAGTTGGAGACAAAGTACATCCAGTAAGTCAAGGCTGACTGCGGAGCAGAACAGAGCAGAGAAAGTTTGTTACACTAAGCCTGTCACTCAGGGAAAAACAAACATTCCCAGATCGAGAGCCCTGCCTCCAGTGGTTCAAAGCCAGCAAGAAGCCCGCCAGGGCCGGACTGCGCACCTGCGGGGCTGGGCCGGGCCTCGGGCAGCTGCGGGCGGAGCCTGGGGGCGCCGGGGCAACAGGTTCACCACCCCCATGCCGCCTGGTTCAAAGTGTCTTCTACTGTGGCAGCTCAGGGGACAAAGGGCCTGAGGCCTGGGTCTAGGGGTCCGCTGGGTTTCAGAAGAGAGCAAAGATCCTAAGTGGGGAGACCCTGTCCGAACCTTCCCTCCACCCTTGAAGGGCTGCGACCCTGGGCAGCCACCTGAGGGATGTCCCTGCCGTCCCTCCACCCGCAAGGCAAGAGCCACGGCGCGTGGCGGGCGAGTGCCACTCACTGGGATGTGACCCAGACCCTGCTTAGCGGGTACCCCTCAACCGGACCCCAGCTCCCCGCCCCAAGGCCCCGCGGCCACCTCCCCACCCCCACCGCACTACTGCAGCCAGGCCTTCCAGGTGCAGAATAAGTTTTCGGGCCAGAGCCCGACAGAGAGGTGCCGGGACCCCGGCGGCGGGTTCGGCGAGGTGGTCGCCCGCCCGGGTCCCCCCAGTGCACAGCGCACAGCCCCTGCCACGCCCTGCGCCTTCGCCTCGGGAGGCGGAAGCAACAGGGAGTCCCTACCGGGCGGCCTCAGCCCCCGCCGCCAGGGTCGGGCCCGGGCGGGGACGACGGCGGGGCGCGAGGGGGCAGGGCCGGGGCGCGCGCGTGCGAGGCGAGCCGCGTTGCCCGGGGCGGGGGCTGCGGGCCGCGGGCGCATGCTCACAGCGCCGGTGACGTGCGCGCCCGGAGCCGCGGCGGGGCCCAGAGGCCGGCTCCAGAGGGGCGGCGGGCGGAGGAGGCGGAGACACGCGGGGAGAGCGCGCAGGCTCTGCCGCGGGCCGGTGCGCTCCAGCGGCGCCGACAGGGCAGCCCGACGGAGCAGCGGGCGCCGAGCGGCCAGCAGCGCGCGGGCCGGACCCAGCCGCCCCGGGCCGGGCGGGCATGAGCGCGGAGGGGCCCCGGCCGCCCTCCGCACCTCCCGGCGCGCCCGGGCCCTGACCGGAGCGGGGGTCGCGGCCGGACTGGGGCCAGCGAGCCCATGGGCGCACCGAGCCGGGCGCGGGGGCGCTGAGCGGCGGAGCGGGCGCGGCCGGGGGAGCCATGGACTGCAGCCTCGTGCGGACGCTCGTGCACAGATACGTGAGTGCGGCGGGAACGGGGCGGGCGTGCTCGGGGCCCTGGAGACCAGAAGCGGCCCCCTACCCTGTTGCCAGCCGAGCCCCAGGTCCCCTGGGGGCTCTGGCGGCCTGGTGACACTGACCGCCTCCCGGGGACGGCGCGATGCTGGGGCGGGGCCAGTCGGAGTTTGCCCCCTCGGGCTTCGGACGGGGTCCTGCTGCTCACCCTCGGCCCCTTCCCCGCAGCCCCACCCGCTCCCCGTCCGCAGCCACCCACGACCCCTCCGGCTCGCCGTTCTCCGAGCGTCCCCCCCGCCCACCGGGGCTGGGATTCGGGCTGTCCCGGCAGACGAGCCGTCCCCAGAGAGCACTTGCTGGGACTCCGCGCGGGGCCGGTCTGGGGAGGGACGTTCAGTTGCGACTTCCCGGCTGTCCTGTGTGCACGAGGATCTAGGGATTGAGAGGAAGTGTTACACTTCTACAGAAAATGCCAGTGATTCGGTTTGTTTTTGAAACACCACTGGAGGATTCAGAAGTGAAGTTCAGAATTTTTTTTTTTTTTGCGTGAAAATAACCAATCAGATCACAAGTCTGTGGTGTTTTGGGGTTCCTCTGGACTCCACTGCTTCAGTGGTGACCGAGTGGAGAGATCAGGAGGGAAGACTTGCAGGGGAAGCTGGTTTTGTTTCACGGCAGAGGAGGCAAAACTGGAGCTCAGCGGGTGGCAGCAGGCCGTAGGTATAAAAAGGGGTGTGTGTGTGCAGAAGAGAAAGAAGGCTGTCTGGGAGGGTAGTGTTTCCTTGCCACTGTCTTTAACAAAAGGCTTCATTGTTCCCTTGTGACCGACTGTGCGTAGCCAGTCACAGGTCTGAGAAGTTCACGCACCGGGGCTTGGTACTGGAAGAGGGCATCGTTATGGGAACTTTGTTTTTCCTGGTATAGGAATCACCTTAGTCAGACTTTAATATTCATGAGCATTCTCTAAATAGGAGACCTTGGCCAAAGATATGTTTCTTTTATCCAGGGGGAATGCCAAAATCAATGCTCTGCCCTGAATTTATTCACTAACCAAAAGACTCGGAGTCCAGAGTATTTGTGTGCACCTTGCGGGGGAGGGGGTCATTTCCTGACGTGAGGAAGGAAGCCTTAGGCAGGTCAGCCTGCTTTCATTTAAGTGGAGAGAACTTGGCGTTGGTGATGATGGGCAGAGAAGGGCTTAGCCTGCAAGAGCCCTGTGTTATTCCACCACTGACACTTGAGCCCCTAAAGTCCATGTTATAATGTGAGTGCCAAACATCAGGTGACACGTGTGGTTTGCTCCTCTACAGTAATGCCACAGAGAATCTGATAACAGTTACTGCAGGTGACCAGAGTGGTAAGAGAAGTGCTTTGTTGGTAGGAGCTTTCTGTTCTCAGCTATGTCATGCAGTAAGTGTGGGTCCCTAGGCAAGTTATTTTCATGCCTCAGTTTCCTCACAGGGAAATGGGAAAAGGGAGGATGGAACAAGCATTTTCTTAAAATGTACTCACTGTTTTTCTAGTTAATTCAGTTCTCTTCTAACTCTAACACTCTGAGATAAAGGGTAGGGTCAAACTGAGGAGAATACTATGCAGAAGTGAGAGGTGGGTGACTGTCCTCTGCCCCTGTGGAGACTCCCTGGTGGCCTTCTTCCCACCCAGCTCCTGACCTGCAGGCATCCTGTGGGGCAGACATGCGTCTCATTTTGGTGCTTTTACTAACCCACTTCCTCCAGGCCTTTGGCTGTTTCATGTTACATAGATCTATATAAATTTTTGTATAGTTTACATTTTGTATTCCCCTTTGCTATATTATTATACTATGACATCAAATTTATTTCTCAAAACTAAGACTAAATATTCATTAATGGACTTTTGCAGCATATACATTATCTGATAATTTCCCTGGAAGGCAAGTTATGAGACACTGTTTTTTCTATTTTTCTCATTCCACATTCTTTTTTGTTTGTTTTATTTTTGCAGTGTATTCATCTGGCTGTTTCCCCATAGTCACTCACAAAAGCATTCATTTCTATGATTTTAAACTCATGCCTATTTCCAGAAACAGTCATGATCTGTTTTCTTGTAATTTGGTTATCTTCCAATATGTAGGACTAAATTATATTTCCTTTTGCTAGAGAAAAAAGAGTCTGGGATTGAATATTCATATTTCTTTGTGGTTTCCTTATGTGACTTATTTTATAAACATGAATAAATATACCCTGTTCCCTTCTAGTATTCACAAAATCAGAATTCCTGGGACAAAGAAACTTTCCAGTTTTTGATGCGTGAGGGCTGCCAAAAGAGAAGGAAGTCCAGTCCTTGGGAAATATTAGTATAGGTACTTTATTCCCGGTTAGCTCCAGAGACAGAAAATAGGCAAGTAAATACGAGGATTCTATGGCAGGGTAGGACAGTGCTCCAAACTGTTTGGGTGTTTGGTGGACACAGGCTGTGCAGAGATACTTGGTATTTATAAATGGCACGGTGCTCACTGACCATCGGGATGTGTGTACCATGAAGTAGTTTATGTATCAGGAGATAGTTTGACCTATGCATTGTCACTGTTACCTTCCTTTTAGAGGTGTGAAGTAGGAAACATAGGTTTAGGTAGTTTATATTCTGAGAGAGACCAGCACAGCCTTACGGGGTGGGCTGCACGTTCCACAGGCTGCCCGAGCCAGCCACTCGCCTGCACACTTTGTAGCTGTGCAGCTTTGGACAGTGGCTTAGCTTTTCTTGCCTCAGTTTTCTCATCTGAGGATAACATTATAGTCCTCATTTCATAGAGTCATGGGGAGGATTGAATGGGCTAAGACAAGTAAAGAGCTGAGAATGGCACCTGGCTCCTACGAGGTGCTCAGAAGTTCACTCCCGGCTACTGGCACCACGGGTGGATTGGCTGGGGACAGAGCCCACACACGTCTGCCACTTCTGTTGGTTGGTTGGCCGACAACCAGCGGGGACCCTGGGTTGCATTGGAAGGTAACTAAGGCCCTGATATGAGCAGTGTGTAGGGCCCAGGCCGGATTCAAAAGACTTTTTAATAAGATGTGACCAAAAGGGGGGAATTGTGAACTAAAAATAAAATCTTAAGGCTCCTGCCTACTGGCTGACTGAATGGACCCCCTCCTGGCCAAGGGGATGCCCTAACACTGAATTGCCTGCCATGAGCCATGAGGAGGGAGGTCAGACATGCCTCATCATGCCCCCTCCCTTCTTATAAATATCCTTTGTAACACGTTGGCGGGCGTAAGGGTATGCAAGACAAACCTGCATGTCATCAATTTACACAACAAATATATATATATTCTGTGGTTTGTCTCTGATTAACAGACCTCCTTATCTTAAAACATTCCAAGTGTTTAGAAAAGCTTCATGTTTTTAACCAATTACAAGTCAAAGAGTCTTCAAACCCACCTATAACCTATAAGCCCCTGCCCTTCGACATGTCCCACCTTTTCAGTGAAACCAATGTATGCCTCCCATGTATCGATTTATGACTTTAACTGTAACCCCTGCCTCCCTGAAATGTGTAAAACCAAACTGTAGCCCAATCACAGCCAGTCTACTTGCTTAAGGCTTCTTGGACGTGGCTCCAAGTCATGGCCCACAAATTTGGCTCAGAATAAACCTCTTTAAATTAAAAAAAAAACAAAAAACAAGATGTGGTCAAATTCTGCAGTCCAGGCAGGAAGGGTATGGCCACACTTGGCCATACAATCTCTTTAAGGGTGAGCATCCTAGGCCTGGTAGCCTCACTGGCCAGCACTTCCTTCCCCTCACCCCTTCCATGAGTCACATTCAGGGGATTTCGTTTTTTCTTCAAAGCTCTGTGGGTTGAGAGAGCTCAATTTTGTTGTGGCTGTGTGATCTGTTTCTGATGATTCAGCCTGGATATTGTTTGTTGGTTTTGTTCTGCCTTCAAAATTTCTCCTTCTGTCTCTCTCACAAGTTTGCTTTCCAGCATATTTCTAACACCTAAAGTAGCAAACTTTGAAAAAATCTGAAGGCTTTCCTTGCTGACAGTAGATATTTATTTGCAAGACAAACTGTTTGTTACATTAGAATTTTCTTTATAAGTGAAACATAAACATTTTTGGTCCCTGAGAACTTCAAGCATTGCTATATTAAAATGCTTTAAGCCTTCTAAAAACTTCAGCCATTTATATGTACACATGTGTCTACTTTTCTTTATGTTTATTACCAAATGGTTTGCAGTGTGACCATCAGTGTTCACCTATGAGCTTGCATATTTTAAAAGACAGACTTATTCGTTTGACTCAGTCATACCAGCTCTTGTTTCAGGAACTCCCTAATTTTGGAGTTGCTTTCCTGAATACAGCATTGGACGATACAGAGGGGGCCTTCTTGTTCAGCTCTGGAGTCTACACTCCAGGACCACTAAATTAAGTTGCTTTAACCACCAGGGTTTCAAGTATTTGAAATAAGCCTATCATTAGGCGTATAATCAAAGACAGAAGCATGGTCCGTCTCCAGCAGTGTGGT